ATTTAATCTCAGTTTTAAGATTGCAAACCTTTTAATTTAAGACTTCTTCCCAATTCCTAGGATTCAACGTTATTTCTCAAAGGGGGTAGCTCTCATTATAGTTTTAAGGAGGCTGAACACTGAGCATTTCAGACCAATATAAGTGAGTTCTAATTTCCAAAAATCGATAAACATTTATGTATGCATCTTTAGCGGTCATTTAAGTATCAGTCATTTCCTAAGTGTATGTAGTATTCTAAATACAATTTGGGTTTTTTCAAATTCAGGTAGTATGGATTTTGTCTACATAATAATAAAATTGAAAAAAAACCCTTTTTGGTAAAAAGAGAGGTTAAGAATAAAACTCTCAAATATTTGTAAAGACAAAATAAAAAGATGAAACACAATAGTAGATATGCACAATAGAATGCTTGATGGATCATCCCTTTTCCTGAGTTTAGAACAAATATATTTTGTAACCACAATGTGCTCTTATTATCATTTTAAAGAAACACTTATTATTACTTGGCAATCTTTGAATATCAAGAAATGCCCTGGAAAGGGAAATTTATCAAATGGGCATGAAAAAGTAAGGATTTTTCAAACACTATTCAAATGGTTCTTTTTGATTTATTGTTCACTTTTCTAGAGCAATGTGAGACAAGATGTAGATACTGTTCTATTTTATTTCCAAAGTAAAGATTGCTTATTCAGACATGTTAAAAATTGCCAAAAAATTCTATAGTCTTTTCCTTATTTTAACTTCTAAATATTTCATCTCTTAGAAAACGACAAAAGTTAAACATTTGGTTATTCACTTCATAGCATAACAAACATAAGCATATATATATAATTTAGATAAAATTATGCATAAACTTGTAAACACGAAGCAGAATCATGTCATACATATTATTTTGTAATTTGTTCTTAAAAATTATCATTATATTAAAAACTTTTCCTTTTCAATATCAACAGTTTTAATTTTTTATTAGCATTTTTATTTATCAGTGAATGGGGACTTTGTTTTTACATCTTGCTATGATAACTGGTTGAAAACAAAAATTTCAGTGAAATAATTTGGGGGTGCTTTGGAGGAATTTTGATTTCAGAGGGAGGCTAAATGATTGTGTAGTTGGATTAATGATACTCTTTGAATTGTGTTCTATGGAGGTAAGAAAAACTTACCCAATAATTTCCAATCAAGGATTATTTGTTGGTCTGCCTGATTCCACAACTGTCTATTTTGCTTTGACAAAAAACAGATCGAAAGATTATAATTGCCATGAAGATTGTCTAGAAGGAATTACTTAAGACTGCAGAAGACAAACTCTTGAGAAATCAATTTGGACAGAATCTGAGAGAAAGATGGGTCACCTCAGTTATGTATGTCTCTTCTACCCTGAGCAGACTGAACACATTTCTCAGGCTGCCGTCCAAATGATGTGTGGCCCGCAGTGTGGAAGAAATGGCTCGAAAGTAATGGTCCTTATTCTAGGGGAAGCTGAAGGCCCTTATCCCATTTGCTGGATCTCCTTATTTCTTCCTCTCACCATATCCCAAGGACCCAGCCTTCTCTAATTGCACTATGATCTCATGATTCACCATCATTTGCAAGCAGAGCAAGCCCCCGGGACACAACCTACCATCATAACTTGTTGCCATTTTTCCCTTCAAAAGTGGTGATGCCTTTGTGACTGTTAAACAATTAATCAAAATTCTCCTCTTTTCCTTTTCTTCCCAAAGAGTTTCCAGGTACTGCTCTGTGAAAAATTGAGACATGCATTTGCTTTTTTTGCTGATAGCCAGTGAGAAGATATAGGCCTTGAGGTAGAGATAAGGAAGAAAAGAAAACTCCTTTGCTCAGTGGAAAAATGGAAGGGGAAAGGGGAAAATGACACGATTTAAAAATACATCTAAAGACAGAATATACCTGAATCCAGGTAAACAATAAGATTGATCTATATAAAACATCTGATGCCAAAGACATTTACCCAAATTTTCATGCACTGTGTAAAGTCTCTACATCAGAATTTTATGGAAAAGAAATTTGCATTAACGCCTTCCTTTCTCTCCACATCGCACACATAGAATTCTATAAACCAATTTATTCCTTTACTTCCTTCTCCTCTGTCTCCACCTTCTAAGTGTGTATTCTTAGCCCAGGAAGAAGTCAGAGCCAGTTATTGTACACAAATCATCTCCTGGCTGAAGTTTTTGGTGGCAGCCAAGAGAGGAGAAGGGAAAAAAATTAGAAAAATTTCAATTTCAGGACCATTATTATTTTCATTAATCATAAGAGGCGCTGTCACCCCTGTCCTTATTCTTTCGAAGGAGATCTATTATACGGTCCATTTAGTCCGAGCCATATTACCTCATATGTTTTCCTGGCTGACCAAATAAGACTTAAGAGATAAAACAATTTACTGTTCATTATGATCCGTGTCACTGGAATCAATCTATTAACCTACATTAACTGGATATGTGACGATATCTCACATACACGCTTCCTCAGTTTAAAGAAAAGGCGAGCAAATGGGGAGGGGGCAGAGAGAGTGAGGGAAAAGGAGAGGGAAGGAAATCAGGGCCCATAAAGTGCAGCAGACGTATAATTTGCCAAGCGAATACAACTTCATTTTCCAGTGCCCACTGCTGCGCCCTCCACATCTTCACGCAGCCCCTGACCTGTAAAGAAGTCTAACAAATTGGCTTCTATTGTGGAGCCAAAAGGTGCCATCAAAGAAGGGACGGTTCGCTGGTCCTAAAGTATGATGGGAAATCTCAGGCTGGAATAAAGAGCTGCCGTTTTATGAAGTTAACCCATTAAGGTTAAAAGCAAGCAAGAAGCCGTGGCCGGTGGGGCAGCAGCACCAGAAAGAGCCTTCTTGTTCAAACACAGGAAAGGCAGCACGAGGTGAAGCAAGGGCCACACAAAGGTAAAATAAAAATCAGCATCATCTTCCTATTTTCAGCAATAAAAATCCCCCTGCTGTGTCTCCAGACAGCCCCTCTGTTTCATTCTCACTCCCTTTCCGTAGAGGAAGGGTCATAAGCATCTCAAGGGAAGGAAATGAATCAATGGGTGGTTTTAATGCACCCCTGCGTGAAAATGTAACTTTAGACGGTAGAGCAGTTAAGGTGGCAGGTACATCGCTAGAATGTGGCTCTATCATCCTGTTTATCCTACATTTGTAACCGCTTGTTAAGAGCTTGTCTGGGCGTTGCCTTGTGTGGTGTAAATTTCCTTCGGAGACTCCAGAGCCCAATGCAAGGCTGCCCAGCCCACAGGCAGACCCCTCCATACACGGTGCACTAATCCAGACCATCCAAGTTGTCAAGGAGTTGAGCATTGTTAACTCACAGCCGGAGCAGCTTGTGCATGGTGAGGGTGAGCCACCACCTGTTTCCCTTGCAGGATGGAGGGAAAAAACTTCAGACTGTATATATTTCCCTTTCATGGGTGATTGGGCCCACTAATTACCATAGGAACCTGAGGGATAGAAATACAAAACTCTGTTCTTCATTCAACTTTCTTAGTCCCAGGAAGAAGGAAAACATCGGTGATCACTGGCTGCTTTCTAGCGGGTATAATTGGTGTAGGAAAACTTCCCCGGGTGGGGCTGTGGGTGAGCGGTGGGGAGAAGGGATGCATTTCTTGGCAGCTGCACCTGAGTTATTGCTTACTGACATATCCTGTTCTGGAGAACAGGAAATGAAAGGCAGTTGGAATTATTGGTAAGCCATGTCATTCCTAACTAGTAAAAGGCTGGGATCACACACACATTATTCACAAATATAAAAGTGCTGAAGAAGTATCCAGTTATTTTGCATGCTGGTGACATCATTATACCTCTTCATGGGTTTTCATGGGTGTATTCCTGGGCCACCTCAGTAAAATTATACTCCTTTTGGTCCATATCAACAGAACTGTTTTTAAAAAGACCTCGAGGGATCTCTTCTGCTTGAAGATACACATTCAGCTCCTTCTTCCTTTCTCCAAAGTACCGACAGAAAAAAAAGTAAATGAAGCTAGCAGCGGAAACATCTTTGTACCCTTCGTTTCTCCACAAGGTTGTTGAGACGAGAAAAGACAGTTGGAGCAGTATTTCAACACAAATGAAACTTCCTGTTTGCAAACTTTTAAATCACTTAAAACATTTTATGTCAAAGTTTGGAGTGTTTTTCTTCATTCTCTTCATTTTCTCTCTCTCTTTATTTTCCCAGCTCCAAAAGTAGGGAATATATCCTTTACTCTCTGTACTTGCAATGCTAGTGAGAGAGAGCGAGCAGGCCCTCCACCAGTGTTTATAGAATGAAGGGGAATTGTTAAGTCCTTCCAGAAATGAGTGGAGGGAGAAGTGAGTGCTGTGCCCTCCTCATGGGGTACGACTTGATTCTGATAACCATCTGCATTTTGTTTGGAGCTCTTCTCGTGGAATTTGCCTCACTCCTTTTCCTTCAAGTACCTTTCCCTTGGAGTCAGTATGTATTAAGACCTTTAGCAGGTGTGCTTCAATGAAAAGGTGAAGACTGAGGCATTGGGGCCCCTTGGATGTTGTGTCCATCAGAGGGGAGTCCATAGTCATGAGAGTATTTTAAGTAATTTCAATCTTTTCTTGTTGTGGGCTTATTATACTGAGAAAAAGCAAGATCAGTAAATTAAATTGAATTAAATGTATTCATTCATTCAACATATATGTATTGAGCACCTGCCTTATGACATGTTCCAGGCAGAAAAGGTATGATAGTGACTAAGACAAAGCCCTGCCTTCCCAGAGCTTTTATTTCAGTGGGGTAAGGCCATGATAACAAATGAATAAATACACAGTAAGCCAGATGGTGATAAGGGAGCTATGGAAGAAAATAAAGCAGGGGAAGCAGGATACGGAACATCGCTGTATACGTAGGGGTGAGGGAGGGATACAGTGTATACTGATTTCTCTTACAGATATCTATTGCTGCACAATGAAACACCATAAAACCTATTGGCTGAAAAACATGTTTCACTTCTCGTGATTCTGTAGCTTGACTGGACTCAGCTGGGTAGTTCTCGATTGGGATCTTCATGAAGTTACAGTCATTTGGCAACCAGAACTGGAGTCACCTGAAGAATTGGATGGGCTGCGTGTTCAAGAGAGCTACTTTACTCACATTACTGGGCCAACAGGTAGAGTCTGGCTGGGCGTCACTTTGCCCCACATGACATATCCATGTGGCTATCCTGGGCTTCCTCACAGCATAGTGAGCTCAGATAGTCAGCCTTCTCAAGTGTTGGCCAGCTCCCCCTAGAGCTAGTATTACAAGAAATCCAAATGAAAATGGCAAGGTTTCTTATGACCTCACCTTGAAAGTCATGAAGCCTCACTTCTCCCAAGTTTTGTTGGTCAAAAGCAAGTCCCAGTGCCCCTCAGATAAAAAGGGCAGAATAACAGAAGATTTGGTTCCCTGGGGGGGCATCTTTGGAAACTGGCTGCCACAATTGATAAAGGGATGGCTTCACAGATAAAGTGATATTTGAGCAGAGCTCTAGGGGAAGTGAGGGAGTAAGCCATGTGACATCTGTAGGAAGAGATTTCCATGCAGGGTGAACAGCATGTACAGAATCCTGAGGCAGGAGTAACCGTGATGCATTTGAGGAAAGCCGGGAGACCAGAGTGGCTGGAGTAAAATAAAGTTTAGTGGTGAGAATTAGGAATTAAGTTAGAAAGGGAGTGAGGGGACAGAAAATGGACAACCTTAGAGACCACGGTACGGACTTTGGATTTTATTTTTAGTTATATGAGAAGCCAATTGATGATTTTAAGCAAAAGAATGGTATGATCAGTTTCATGCCCCAAGGAACTATTCATTTATGCACACTTCTAATTGAGGACTTGAACAACCAGTTTGTTAAAAGCATCGTGGGGTAATCAAATGAAAGCAGGATGGATAACCAAGGGCCTGGGTCTCGGTTGTAGGCTCACCAAAAACATATCTTCTGAAAATGGTCTAACTTTTCCTGGCTTTAGCTTCTCCTTCTGTAAAATGAGGGGCTGGGCCAGATATGTGATTTCAAAGAGAGCTCAATAGCCTGTCCCATGGGTGAGAGGGGAGGGTCCCATTGATTCTCCTTGTTTCAACCGGAGAGGCATTGTTTTATTGGGCTTCACATATTGAACTTCCACATAAGGTTTTGTTTGAGGAGAGATGTTTGTCATTAAAATACATTTGAAAATCCACTGGACTAGGTGAACTCTAAATTCCTTTCAGCTTGAAACTTCTGTGTGTCTGCTACTAAGCACCCAGATACGGGTACATTGAACAGAAGATAAAATGCATATAAAAACGTGTGTCGGGGGTGGGGCGGCTTGACTCCTATTCACAAGTAGAAGCAATAAAGTTCCCCTTGGAGCCCCCAGGCTGGCTTACTGCAGGACACACTCCCTCTGTGTGTTCTTACTTCTCATCGTGAGGGGAAGAAATGGAGAAGAAAGGTTGGCAAGTGGAAGGGAAAAGATAAAATGCTAGTGGAATCAAGACCAATCCTTAATTTTTGGAAGTTGGGAAAACTGCACCTTGGGGGCTTTCAAGCAGTTTCTGTCTTCTAGGTGGAGACTGGAATTTGCCTCTCAGACCAACCCTCTTTATAATGGGAGGGGTCCCTTTGGTGAGACCTTTTAACTAACCTTTTGTTCCCTGGGGAAGTTTCAGTGCTTCAAAGCTGGTTAGTAGTGAACATCAAAGGGTTTGATAAAGCTGTGTCCCAGCAGAAACCCAAGTGGTTCACCATTTCCATTCATAGTTGTCGCGTCTACAGTGTGGTACTTCCCATACTCTCAGAGCTTCATTAAAGTGCTTGTAAAAGTCTAACCGAGTCTCAAAGGCGATGTGAGAAATTAGGGAAACCAGTATACGTGCCTTCCAAGAGACCAAAGAGAAGACCAACTGTGCCCAGGGAACTCTGCTCTCAGAAGGGTCATTAGTAGAGTGTAAGCTCCAGGAGACAAAGAGTTGCCATGTTCACAGTTGCATCCTTAGCCCTAGCAGGTCTCAGAGAGCATGCACTGACTGCCTGCGTACAGAAGCTGGGAGAGTGGTGGCAAGAATTGGAGGGTGGAATGGACTTGTCACAGGGCATGGTAAGGCAGTCACAAGGGAGCCTGCAGAAGGAGCTAGGGACAAGTGGAGGGGAGCTAATGTCCAGAAATTATGCAGGTGGGTTTTACAATAAAATATTCTGCAAAAAGGGAGGGCGAACTTATTCTGTAGTTATGGGATGATGGAACCAATGATACATTTATTACAGGAGATCGAGGAAAGATTCAATCTTGGATGCAAAGCTATAAAAACACCCAGCCAACAGAACTCCAAATGGACAATTTAATCAATCTTAGATTCTAGTACTACATAGCATGTTCTAGTTTGGGAGATAGACAAGCTCTAGAAATGATATCTTACTGCTGTATCTCCCTCATGCGTTGACATTTTCTTTGTATCCCATCAATGATTCTCTTGCATTAAAGTGAACCCCATTCTTCAAATGAAATCCTTTATTGATGGAGAAAACAACTCTTCCTCTTGCTTCTCTTTTCTCTGCTCTTCTTCGTTCTTCCCCCTCCTACTAAAATCCTTCATAGACTCACACACAATAATTAAATAATAATTTGGGAGTCTGTAAGGGAAAAAGATTACTTGGTGTCTTAGCTCAATACCGGGGATGTAGTAATCACGTAATATATGAAAATTGTTATTTTTGCCATTATTGTTCTTGCTATTATTATTATTGATATTAATATGTCTCCCTCTAGTCCAAAGTCTAGGTCAGCACTATCCAGTAGAACTTTCTGCAATGATGGAAATGTTCTATATCTGTGGTGTCTCTTATGTGGCCATTAGATACCTGTGGCTATCGAGTACTTAAAATGTGGCTAGTTCAAATAAGGAACAAAGTTTTTAATTGTATTTAATTTAAATGAATTTCCATCAGAACAACCACAGGATAGTATAAGTCTAGACTCAATTTTCTGGAGTGAGTTGGGCCATCTTATTCTTTAAACCTGTAGTTTTAGAACTCTCATCAGAACACCTGGAAGATTTGTTAGGCTCCAATCCTAGATTTGTTGATTGTGTGTCATGGGTATGGCCTGAGAATTTGCATTTTAACAGGTAATGCTGATGTTGCTGGCCCAGGGACCAGACTTTGAGAACCACTGCTTTGGAGCCACCCATGGTTCTCAATTCTAGGTGAACATGGAAATCACATGTGGGATTGATGCCCAGGCTATGCCTCAGAAAAACTAAACCAGAATTTTTAAAGCTCCAAGTCATTTCTTTATATAGCCAAGAATTCAATACAATTCTTAAATCAGGGAGCATGTGAAATTAGGTGAGTGCTTGTCAAACTGTAACGTGCTTATGAATCACCTGGAGAGCTTGAGAAAAAGCAGATACTAATTTACCAGGTCTGGGACGAGACCCAGGATTCAGCATTTCTAACAAGTTCCCGGATTATGTTGACGCAGCTCGTCCAACGCCCACACTTTGAGGAGGAAGGGGTTAGACGGTCTTTGTGGTTGCTTTGAATCTTTAAATTCTGCAATTCTAGATCTGGGCAGGAAATCAGACTCCTGGCCTGCTCACCAGAGTCTAGTGCTGCTGGAGGGAGAATGAGAATGCAGCAGAGTGATGACAAGACTGGCGAGCCCTGGAAGGAGGAAAGACAAGTGGCTCACTCAAGGCAGCTGGGTCCTCGCTGTGAGGCTGCCAACTGTAAATTATGCAGTTGAGCTCCTTCCTCAGACTAGGAGGCGGGCAGGCAGAATCAGACTATTGCTATCAATATCCTATAAGGCCCCATGTAGAGTTCAAAGTCTATAAAATAGCACCACTGATTCCCTGCCACGGGAGAGGGAGCTGGAGCCCGGACCCGGCCACGGTTAAACAGGGCAGCTCCAGGCTCAGAACTGTCAAGTTGTCCAGCGTTGGAATCCCTTAAATTAAGAAAGAAAACCAAACATTGAAGGCTCTATTACACGATTGGATAATAACCAAGGGGCAGTACAGTACTTGTAATGTCAAATAAAAAGAACGCTTAATGTTTCTTTTGCTCATTTCAGGTCAAAGGTGAGTTACAATTGAGGCTTCAGAGTTAAGCAGTTAGATAGTGAGGTAAAGAGGATAAAAGAAAATGTGGCAATCCACCAAGGAGGGGCCCAGGAAAGACGTGGCAGCGTGGAAGTTCTTTTCATCAGCCTTGGGGTGTTTTATTTCAGGAGAGGGGAGGAAGATAAAAATAATTGAGAATTCAAAATCCTATCAAAACTATTCCTTTGCAAAGCTATATTTTCTTTCCAAAGTGCTTACTAGTGGTGCCCTCCAATCACATCCTCAGACAAAAAAGAAAAAAGTTTATTTCCATACAATTGTAGTCCATTACTATGATTGGAAATATAATTCATAATGATGATTGCCTGGTGGTCCATGTAACTGGTTTTCATTCTACCAAAAGAAGAAGATGACGAAGAAGAGAAAATTAAGGAAAACCATCCAAAGCAAGCAGCTTATCTAAATTTCAGGTAGATTACCAGTTAGGCCGCCCAGGAGCTATTACAAACAGGTATTCAAGGGGGTTTCAGATAACCCAAAGTGAATTTCTCTGAACGTGTTCATTTATAAAAACCTTTTAATTCGTTCTTCTCTGTCTCTGTCTCTCTCTTTCTCTCTCTCTCTCTTACACGCACACACATACACACACACACACACACAGTCACCTACAGAGCTGATATTATAATAACCAACCATGCCAGAGAGAGGGAAAAATGTACAGGAATGCAAAGAGTGTTTTAAAGATAGAACTCAACTAGGTTTTTCAGCAACCTTGTTTTCCGCTGAATTTGGAATTTCAGATGAGAACATTTCTCTCTTGTCTCCAGTAAAAATGACTCTATTTGTTCTTTTTCAGGGACCCCCCCCCCCCAAGGGTCCTGTCCCAGAATGAAATGAATAATGATGCTTTATTTTTCATAGTACCTTTTTCCCAAGAAGTTCACAATGCTTTAGAAAACTGATCTCATAAATCTTTAAAACACCCTTGAGAGGTGGAAAGCAACAGTCTCACCTCCATTTTACAGGTGAGGAAACGGAGGTGTAGTGAGTGAGCTTTTAATGATGGAGCTTGAAAATAGCTGA